CAATTTTCCCCTTGCTACTACAATTGAACCTATTCCATGTTAAAGCAAAGTTACAACTTCTGATTTTGAATTTTGTGGAGTTGATGATTTATAAATAATTTTAAGTGAAGACTGGCTATTTGGAAGGAAAGTACCTTTTCTTTCCTGCTTCTTTTAAGGTTCCTTTTAGGGTTTAGCACTGTTGATCCCAAGGAAAGAATCAGGGAGCTGTCAAGCCCTACTTCACAGCCTCCCCAAAGTACTAGAGGTACACTACTGGTCCTGTAGCCTAGGCAACCCTAGTTTAGAAGTAAAGGAAATGAATGATGACTCAGAGTCTTTCCCACCCCAGCCTCCCACATTAGCTTCTTTAGTGTACTTCTGTATACATCAAGGCAAGGACAAAATATTTTTTTGCTTAGAGAATCCTCTGTTGGCAGCTTTCTTGCTATTTCCCTAGGGCTCCTCTCCACCCATATATCCAATTAAATCATCAGCTCCTCCTCTCAGCCCTTTTCACTTATCAGTTTAATTTTTACTCACTGAGGCAGCATGACATAGCAGACAGAATGGTGGACTTGGGAATCATCAGAAAAACCAATCTGAATCCTGACACTCATATTTACCAGCAGTGTGACCACAGGCAAGTCATTTAACTTCTATGTCCCAGTTATTCAGTTTATATATAATATATAATATCTAATATCTAACTCCAGGGTTGCTGTGAGATTAAATGAGATAATGTATGTAAGGTACTTTGTAAGCTACAAAGTGCTATATAAATCAGTTATCATTATTACTTGCCTTTAAATTTATTTCTCCACTGTCCCGGGACACTGCACCCTTTCCTTCTAGATGAGGTTCTGAAAACAGCAAAAAACCAAGGTGTGCTCAACTGTGTAGCTAAGTGACCCCATTTCAGGTGTAATTATAAAGGCTGATCTGGGGAATTAACTTTGATTATATACACAAAAGTATATTTGTCCTAATATTTTTCAAGTACTATTAAAGCATAATATTTCATCATTCTAAAGTGGAAAGTTAAGTTTAGGAACTGCCTATCCATGGTATATCTTCAGTTCATATTCTAGACAATTCCTAAGTGATTTGATGGAAGAACCTTCCCTTTCTTCTGGGCCAATTTTAAAAGGAGGAGCCATTATGTTTTAAGTTTAGTAACTTAGTTTAACAACCAACTATTCACTCTATGAATCAGGGTAAAAATTTTTTAAAATATATTTAAAGATTCTGTTTTACATGAGTTTCTCTAATTTTATTATAAATCTCAAACAAAAGTTTTTTCTGAAATATGGAGACCTCCAATGTGCTTTAGGAACTCCAGTAACTGTTTACTCCGAATCTTTTCCAGTCAAGGTGACAAACATATAAAGCACATTTGAAACCCCGGTCATGTGATTCTTATTCAGAACTACACATCCAGATGCAAAATGGCATCAGGCTTTAATGACCTGTAGAACATTTCCTATTTTCCTAATTTAGGAATATGTTTAAGTAGTATGTTACTGCTGTCACTAGTAACTCTTTAAAATTTTCTTTTCAAAACTAATTTTTCCTATTAGCAAGACAATGTTTAGAATTATACTAAAAGGTAGCATTGCTATTACCCCAAATTCATTTAATGTTCCAGTCAAGGTCATCCCAAAAACACTTGAGAAACGATATTTTCTTTTCCATCCTTCAAATCTGTATTAAACATCCTCCACATTTGATTGTTACTTTCATCCTCATTATCTCTCACTTCCCATTTTGAAGCTGTTGCCAAGTCCTGTCAATTTCACCTTTGCAACAATTCTCAAATATGCCCGCCTTTGATACTGCCACAACTCTAATGCCTGCCTTCTTCATCTCACACTAGGATTATTGCAGTAGACTGAAGCTGGCTCTGATTCCTCAACTTTGTTACAACTCCAAGTCATCCTCTATTCAGTCACTAAAGTGATTTTCCTAAAGTGCAGGTCCAATCACATCACCTCCCTATTAAACAAATTTCAGTGGCTCCCTATTATTTCCAAGAGCAAATACAAAATGCTGTTAGAATTCCTTCATAACCCAGCCCTCTCCTACCTTTCCAGTCTTCTTTACCTTACCTCCTGCCACTTATTCTTTGACACAGTGACACTGGTCTTCTGGCTTTTACATGAACAAGACACTCCATCTCTTGGCCCTGGACATTCTCTCTGGCTTTCCCTCATGCCTGGAACATTCACCCACCAGGGCTCCAACTACCTGACCTCCCTACTTTCCTTTAAGTTCCAAATAAAACCTGGTCTTCTACAGGAAGCCTCACCCAATCTTTTTTCCCTCCAGGCAATGGGGTTAAGTGACTTGTCCAGGATCATACAGATACCAAGTGTCAAGTGTCTGAGACTGGATTTGAACTCAGGGCCTCCTGACTCCAGGGCTGGTGCTCCATCCACTGCACTACCTAGCTGCCTCACCATGCCCCACCCCTCTTATTTCCAGTGCCTTCTCTCTCTTATTTCCTACTTACCCGGTATATAGCTTGCTTTGTGTGTATTTATTTATATGTAGTCTCCCCCATTATACTGTAAGCACCTTAAGAGCAGGGAGAGCCTTTTGCCTCTCAGTACCTCCACTTCTTAGCACAGCACCTGGTACAGAGTAGGCGGCTTAATATATGTTTACTGACTGATAATTTGTGATCTATTCAATTTACATTTCAAAAACTTTCAAATTCACTCAACTAAGAGGGGAAGTGTTTGAAGTTGGGGGCATGCCACCTCTTCTTTCAAACTAGCAAATCACATGTTAAGTAAAACTGTCCCAATCCTTAAGGAACTTACAATATTGCTTGAGAGACAAAAAAAAAAAAAAACACAAAAGAGCTGGCATCACAGCATAATACCATGCATTATATCTAGTCTGTACAGCAATCTCCCCTCCAGCAACATGAGAGCATCTCTTCAATTTTATTATTAGAAGTCATTGGAAAAATAAGTAGCAGTCACTAGTTGCCCTGCAATGCATCTATTCTGTAGAGTAAGTGATATCTATATTGCAGAGCTAATGGTAATTCAGAGACACTCAATGATAAGGGGAAAGGTTCATGCTACAGTGGAAAGACCCTGCCTGCCTTCCAGTACTACTTTTGCGACCTTGGTCAAGTTATAAATTTTTCAGGCCTCAGTTTACTCATTTGTAACTTGAGGTTGGATTAGATTAAGGGTTGAGCCCATGGGCCCCAATGAAATTCATGGATAGATTTCAGGGTTTGTTTTTGTTTTTCTTTAATAAATATTTTGATAATTATATTTTGACTCATTTTCCTTTACAATCCCTATATATTTTATGCATTTAAAAACATTATTCTAAGAAGTTCATGGGGGCTTCACCAGACTACAAAAGGGTTCACAACACAAAAGAGTATAATGCTAAATGAGTTCCAAGTTCCCTTCCACCACTTACATTCCATGATTCTACAATAAGTATGATATAGTGAATTGAGGAAGAGTTGAGAGAGGGTGGTTCCAGATTGGAAATCCAGTCATGCTACTTTTTCACTGTATGTCCCAGGGGATGTCTCACTTTCTCAGGGCCTCACTTTTCTCAGATAAGAGGCCTGAACTAAATCTCAAAGCTAAAATCATTTTTAAGTTTTATGATCCTATGATTTGAAAGACGGTGTTCTCCGAAACAGAATGATCAGCTGCTTTTGTAAAAATTCATTAGGACTAGTCCTCCGTAACTTACTTTAAAATTTGGGATCTCTTAATGATGCTGCCCATAAAAGGTTTGTTAACCTGGTTTGTTCACATTGGGGGGAAATAATCCAGAATATGATGAAACACCTTCAGACAGAAGTGAGAGTCTCAAGATGTAAAGTGACACATTTTTTGGACATAGCCAATGCAGATATTTGTTTTGCTTGCCCAAGCATAGTTGTTACAGATATTCTTTTTAATCCAAGGGGGAAAGGGGGTGGGGGATTTTTTTAAGTAAAGAAAAGAATTGTGGGGAATAGCTTTGATCATGTTCTAATTCGGTAGGAAGGCTGAACAATAGAGTGGTCTAGTCTAACCCTGCAGACAAGCTAGAAGTGGGGACTGGAAAGGATAAACCATCACTAAAGATAAATATCTATTTCTTCTCGGATTATCAAGCATACTATTAGACCTCTAAACCTTGAGATCATAGGGTTTGAAGTCAAGAGGGCCCCGGTTCAAACCCAAGCTTTGCCAGCTCCAACCTGTGTGACCTGGGGCAAATCGTTTACAAACTCTCTGGGCCGCAGTTCCTCATCTACAAAATGAGGGCTAGGATTAACATTTAAGTCCCTTCCAGCTCTAAATACACGATCCTATGACCTCCCCTAGCTCGATCTGGACTCCAAGGTGAAGTGGTCTCTTTACCAATAGCCCTGGTCTCTCCAAAATCCCACCCTGTCTCAATAACCCTCCTCCCAAGCAATTAAAAAAAAAATCACTCCAGTGTCCTCCCTCCCTCCCAAATCCAGTGGCTTTTGGGGGTCCCTCTAGGTCCCCCAGACTCCCTCGCAAGAGCTCTCTTCTCTCTCCTCCCCCATGCTCTATCCTGGGACCCTATTTTCCAACAGACCCTGCTAATCCTTAGGCCTTGGGACTCCCTTACTTTGGAGCTCGGTGCTTGGTACGGGGTAGGCACTTAATAAATGCTATTTAACTGATTCATCCTCTGGTTCTCTGCCCCCCAACCCCATACACCCATAGCCCGACCATCTCCTTCTAGGCCAGCCCCAAATCCCATGCCCTCCCTCGGCCTCCGTCCTCGTGGCGGGAGGGGGGGGTGGGTTGTACTGAAGAATCTCGGACTTGGACAAATGCCTTGGCCCGTCTGAGCCTCCGCTTCCTCATCTGTGGAATGGGTACCCTCCAGCGAATTGTCAGCAAAGCACCAGGGGTACGTCAGCTACTCCGTCTCGCCCCGAGCCCGACCCCACGAGTAGTCGGGCCGGACCCTGACCCGCTCGGTGCCCGGCTCCCGCTACCCTCGCCCTCACTCACGGGGTGCAGCGGTCGCTGTACTCATTGGCGATCGTCTCGATGCCGCCGGCCCGGGCCACGGCAACGTAGCAGCTTTGGAAGCCCAGGTCAATGCCCACCACCGACATGGCCCCGGCCTGGGACGGGAGCCCGGCGGCCCCGCACAGCACCGGGGGAGGGGCTGGGGAGAGCGCGAGGCGCACGCACGAGGCCCCGCGTGGCTGCCCAGGAGCGCGCGCCACCCGCCGCCGCCGCCGGGCCTGGGGACTGACGGACAGACGGACGGACGGAGGGAGGGAAGGAGGGAGAGAGAGAGGCAGGAAGAGACAGAGGCAGGGAGCGAGGCAGCGCGCGAGGGAGAGAGCGAGGCGAGCGCACGAGCTGGAGCCGGCTCCGCTGCCGGGACACTGGCGGCCGAGAGGGCTGCGGGGGCGGGGGCGGGGGCGGGCTGGGGAGGGGAGAGGAGAAGCTCTCGAAGGATCTCGTCGCGTCTGGAAGAGGGCGGGGTCAGGGAGACGGGAGAAAGAAGGGCGCTTCTCGCGACATTTCCAGACTTTTCCTGTCTCCCCACCCCCACCCCCTCTTTCACTGGGCTCCTCCCCCTACGCTGTCTACGTCACACACTGGTACGGGGCGAGGGAAGGGAGGGCAAGGGACGGCAGGAGGGGTGGGGAGGAAGACTTTCATTTTGTTTCAGTGCGCCTGCGCCGACCAGGGTGTCGTCCCTTCTACAATTAACTCGAACAATGAATGGGAACTGGGCCAAAGAAAAATTGTCTTTTGGACATATTCACGACGCTGTATATGCTGTCGTCATCCGCCTCTGTCCACCCCACGTCAGAGTGGACAGAGTGGACGCGCGGAGTGGAAGAGCGCGGAATGTGAATCCAGGTAACACCTGGGTGACCTGGGGCAAGTCCCCGACCTCATCTCTTCAGCCTTAGTTCCTCCTCTTCTGTGAAAATAAACCCGTTGGACTCGGTGACCTTCCAGCTTACAAATAATTATTATTAGTAGTATTATCATTGCGAAAAACAGTAATGGCTAACATGTATATAGCGTTTTAAGGTTTACAGATATCTCGTTTTATCTTCACAACAGGAGGTAGGGGCTGTTCTTATCCCTATTTTACAGTTTAGGAAACTGAGGATGAGAGGTTCACAGGTTTACTATGACTATTAAGTGTTTGAGGCTGGATTGAAGCACTTTCCATATATTATCTTATCCATTTCCATACATTATCTCCTCCCTCAGGAGGCCAACTGGCAGATACAATCTCCCAGTCTGAAAATGTAGATTTTGCTAGCTTCCGAGGATGAGCAAACCAAGGACAGTCTCTTAACCTCTCAATACCCCCAAGGCAAATCAATTTAATTGCACAACAGTTGCCTGATCAGTTGCCCTGTGCTTAGTACAAATTGTTCAGACTTTCACTTGTGTTGTACTCTTCCTTACTCGGTGGACCATAGCATGTCCATGGCGTTTTCTTGGCAGATATTGGAGTGGTTTGTCATTTCCTTAAGACAAACAAATGACTTACCCAGGGTCACACAGCTAAGTCTCTGAGGCTGTATTTGAGTTCATATCTTCCTGACAGTGAATGGAGCACTGGGCCTGGAGTCAGTTCAAATATAACTTCTGGTACTAGCAGTGTGACCCTGATAAGTCACTTAACCTTGTTTGCCTCAGTTTCCTCATTTGTGAAATGAGCTGGAAGAGGAAACGGCAAACCACTCCAGTATCTTTGCAAAAAAAAAAAAAAAAAAAAAAAAAAAAACCAATGGAGTCAAGAAGAGTCAAGCTGAAAAGACTAAACAGCAACCTCCTAACTCCAGGCCAGGCACTCTGTCCACTGAGCCATGTAACTGCCTTCAAAGCGCACGGGCACGTGGTAAGCACTTAATATATGTTGTTGACTGATCTTCGAGAGGGCAAGGAGTTTCCTCAACCCTAGGTTCCTTTCAATAATAAAATCACGGATGGGGACAAAAAAAAAATCTTTGCCAACGGCTCTATGTTATTCCCATTTTGTAGATGAGGAAACAAACCCAATGAGAATGGAACAGCCTTATGAGCTCCTCAGGTCATTTCCTCAGAGCAACAGTTCAAGGTTTTTCTTAATCCTCTCTTAATCTCTTAATCACATTCTCTTGATTTTTAACTCTATAGCTGATTATCTAGTTTTGGTTCACAAAACAGATATGTGCTTAGTCAACTTGCTTCCATTTCTCATAACTTTTAAGCATTATTACCTTCTCTGGTCACAGAACGGGTAATGTTCTTCTGTTTCTGCCTGTGATCCCATTCCCTCCCTCCTTTTGGATGGCTTTTGATTTTACACCAGTCATTTCCAGGGGCCTTGCAATAAAGGAAAATATTTCAGTAAAAACCAACTGACACATGCACTACATCTAATAGTAAATGCAACATTCTACATCCATAGACCCCCAATTCCATATTAAAGGAGGTAGGTGCTTCCTCATCTCTTCTCCGGACCAAGAGTGATCATTAGAATTACATAGCCTTCAATTTAGTCTTACATTCTTTTCATTTCCATTATTGTAGTCGTTGTAATATATTCTTCCCCTGGTTCCGTTCCAGTCTGTAGAAGTTCATACGTTTTCATATGTTTCTCTGAATTCCTCATATTTGTAATTTCTTACATCCCATTGTTATTTTATTCCATTTATGTACTGTATTATTCCATTCAGTCATTCCCCAATTTATGGGATACACTGTTTCCAGGTTTTGCTACAACAAAAAGTGTTGCTCCAAATATTTTGCTATATTTGAAACCTTTCATTCTCTCTTTAGCATCCTTGAGATATTTGCCAAGCAGTAGGATCTCTGGATCAGTGCCCTCTCTCTCTGTCTATAATATCTGTATTATAGATCTTTCACTCATTACTGGCTCCTACAAACATGTTTCACTCACCTCAGTCCAAAAAAAAAATGTTTGTGATACTTCTGCAGTACCAATTCCCTTCTTCTCTTCCCTTTACTTGCTAAGTTTCTTAAAAAGTTGTTTGCAACAAATGTTTCCACTTCTTCATTACCCACTCTCTTTGTAAGCAGCAGAAAAATCTGGTTTCTGCTCCCACTACTTTACCCAAAGAAGGCTTCTGGCAAGATAGGTAATGTAAGCTTAGTTCCCCTAACCACCTCAAAATAGAATCAATAGAATCAGTCAAACAATAAGCCTTTATTGGGGCATATGGGGTGTTTAGAGAGGACCTCTGTTATGAGGGCTTTTACTAAGCCCTTTTCAGGGCTGCTCATCTACCTGTGATGTCCACACCCTGGCACAACCATCTAGGCAGATGGGCTAAACCAGGTTGAGGGTAGCTTATAGGCCTCAAACATATTGTCAAGTTAAGGTGATGTCTACACTAAGCATATGAAGACTTACCCTGGTTGAATGGGCAGATGAAAACAATTTGTTCCAAAGGCCATGAAGGAAGCTAAAGCAAGCCTTGTGGAGTGCTTAGAGCTTGGTCAGACATCTAAGATGCCAAGGTTATCCAAGGGCATCCCGAGCCATCGCCAGTGATCTTAACTTTTGTCCTGCCATTGGACTTTGATGACTTTGGAAGAGAGAGTGAGGCTGATGACTTTGTACAACATTGCCTCACTTAAATCTCTCCCCCTATAATTGGTCCTCTTCAAAAAAGGAAGGACTAACAACAGTTAATCACCTACTCTGTGCCAGACCCTATGTCTGACACTGGGGACACAGGTGGTTCAGTGGACGGAGTACTGGGATCAGGAAGATCTGAATTTAAGTCCTCCCACAGATACTAATCTTGTGACCCTAGGCAATTTATTTAATTTATCTCAGTCCTTGTTTTCTCATCTGTAAAATGAAGGGGGTTGGACTCCAAGGTCTTTCTAGTTTCTTCCAGCTCAGTTTCCTTCTACCATTTGTCTTCCCCATTGGAATGTAAATTCCTTGAGAGCAAGTACTGTAGTTTTGCTTGTATTTGTATTCCCAGGGTTTAGCACTGTGCCTGGTGCTTAGGAGGCACTTAATAAATGCTCATTGATTGGATATTATGGAAGTAGGAAAAGGGAAAAGGGAAGAAGGGAAGGAAATAAGCATTTATATAGAACTTACTTTTATCCAGTACAGTGTTAAGTGCTAAGGATACAAAGAAAGGTAAAAGACAGTTCTAGCCCTTGAGGACCAGCTGATGGGAGAGACAACATGCAAATAATTATATACAAACAAGCTGAAGACAAGAGAAGGAAAGCTGACTGTATGGGACAAGTGAGTGTATCTGGAACAACAGAAAACACTAGCCAGAGGACTGAATTAGAGGTTAGCCGCATCCACCCACCCCTTTCACCAAACCAGATTTTTAAACCAGTTACAAAGGGAGTAATGAGGAAGCCGTAACATCTGACAACTTTTTAAAGAAATTTAGCAAGAGATGACAGCATATGTATAATTTATATCAAATTGCTTGCTTTCTCAAGGAAGGGAGAGGAAGGAAGAGAATTTGGAACCCACAAGGAAACCTCTACTAAAAATTCTACTACTCTAACAAGAATAGACAGAGATAAAAAGCAGTTAAAGAAAAACTCCCAATTATGAAGGAACAGTACAGGGTAAAAGAATACCAGAATACTAAAACTTCAGAAAAAGAGAATAATACTGAAATAACAAGAACTAGAACCACAGAAAAGAAAAAAGAAGGGGATGGCCACTAGAATCACTAAGGAAGAGTGATTAGTAGGCCTAATAAAAGAATAGAAGGAAGGAAATTAGAATTCAATAAAAAAAATTCAAAAGGAAAGTCCACCTGCTTAGAATAGACATTGGAAAACTTGAGCAAAGCAGTAAACCTGAAAAAAAAAAAGAAAGAAAACAAATTCAAAAAGTTCAAAGATGTAAGAATTATTAGAGGAAAGTCAAAAGTGCAAACTTGAAAGTGTGCTGAGATAAGCATGATTTTTTTTTAAATGATCTAGAAATAGAGGTGCAAGTGAGAATCTAAGAATCATTGTTCCTGGAGAAAAACATGATGGGGGAAAAAACAACCCTGAATATCTGTTATAATCTGGAAAAATCTCTCAGGTTTTTCTGGCTTGGTCTTTTCTTGTCCAATAGAATGTGTCTGTTCCCTAGCCATGCTTCTTCCTCCTGCCTGG